TCTTAATCTGTAAACATCGGGAAACCACAATTGAATTTTTTTTTTACACTGAATTTCCAGGTACATGAAAAATGAACTAAAAAAGACTGATGGGTTCCAAAATAAATTTAAAATGTTTAATAGCATTATTTATTACATACGACTAATATGTCCCCTTTTAATGTTTTTCTTTTTAATATTAGGTCACTTGATAGAAAAATAATACACAGAAGAATACTTGCTACCTGGTTACAGAGATGGGGCATGCCCTTCTTTTCAGCGTGACTTTCCTGTGACTTCTCTACCTATCCTCAGGTATCACCATGCTGAACTTCAAGTTGGCTTCTCTTTCATTTGTGCCTGCCTACATTTGCAGCACCAAACATAGTACTACATGCTGATTTAATTTTAATTTATACAAATACGGTCTATAATAGGAAGTTTTTTGTACACAGCTTTTTTCACTCCATTTCAGATCCCACATTTTATTACTGTGTTCTGCTAAAGTCCATGCATTTTCACAGTTGTGCTGGTACAGTGGTGATGCACTGGGCTGCGAACAACAGGCTCAAATATCAAATCCACCAGCCCCTCTCAGCAGAAAGACGGCTTTCTACTCCCGTAATGAGTGACAGTCTCTAGGTGGCAGCGAGTTGGCATCAGCTCAAGGCAGTGAGTCTGGCTTTTTGTTTGCAGGACTAGAACACACCGTATTTATCCATTCCCCAACTCGTAGGTCCTTGGGTTGTTTTCTAGTTTTTATTATTCTAAATCATGCTGCCACATTCTTGTATGTGTCCCCTGATGTAGATATGCACCAATTTTTCTATGGCATATGTTTATCCGTGAAAGAACTGGGTCACGCAGTAAAGGTAACATTGATGTTAGTGGGTGACGTCCCACTAACTTTTCAAAGAGGACTTTTCAAAGCGGTTCTACCAAATTACCTTCTTGCAAACAAGTTTATGAAAGTTCCCACTGCTTCACACCTCCCATCCTCACCATTTCTTGGTGTAGCCAGCCTTTCCAATTGTCCCTAATACGGGACAGTGAGAGTGCAGCGGGGTCTCACTGTGATTTTAATTTTCATTATTTTGTTCACCAATGAAGCTAAATATTTTTTGTTTTTATTGGCCATTTGGATTTCCAAATTTATGAAAGCCCCATTTATTTAGCTATTTATTATCTGATTGCTTGAAAGCAGTCCTTTATACATTCAAATGACTACGTGTCTGTTGGTTGCACCTTCCCCCACTCTCCTTGTCCTCTCTTTATGGTATCTATGAAAACCACAGGCTCCGAATCTTTATGCACTTCTTCTTTCCCCTTACAGTTCCTGCTTTTTGTGTCATTACAATTCTCTTCTCCAACTCAGAAGGTGAATATATCCTCCCCTATGACCTAAACAGTCTACACTCTGCTCTCACATTCCTCTCCCTGTTTCTAGCTTGCAGACAACAAGTGTGGCGTTCTAACATGATATTTTAGCCAAGAGACAGGAGACCAAAGAGGCAGCACTGCTAGCCAAAGAAATCCATGACATTTACAGACAGAAGTAGGTGGGTTCATCTTATTGACACCTTAAGGCATTCTTTTATTACCTACCCTCAAAATGTCTCCAGTGAGGGTTCCCCTGCCTGGTCCCAGTTCCACCAGCTGGAAAGCTGAGTTTTTCCCAGTAGCCATCCATTCACTAACGAACCATATCCCTAGCAGCTGTGAAAAGGGAAAATTAGGGTATCATAAAGTATACCACAATATAATAGCCCACATAAATTTGCCTTATATGTGCAATGGAAAATGTTTATAAGCCTCTACAAGGTACGTTACTTAATATGTTTGTACACACACACACACACACACACACACACAAATTTAACTGGGACTATGTCACAACAAACACCACTAAGAACACCTGGTAACCACCACACTGGTTGAAAGTCAACCTATGCTATAAAAGGTCCCTTGAACACAGACAAGAAGGCATCATTGACAGAGAGGCGCTATCATTTGGAAGGAAACGAATGTGGAAGACATCATTTTGTCATATCCATGGCATTACATGGCTCTGAGGTAGAACTGGGAGAGAGCAGCAGCTTTTGACTCCTGCAAAGAGTCCGTTTCAGAAACCGACCAGCAGTTCTGCCCTGTCCTATGGGGTGGCCAGGAGGTGGAGTCAATTCTACAGCAGGGAGTGTGGTTTTCCTTTTTAAGTATAATTCATGATTTTCAATACTTAAGATTCTCCTTTCTCCCATGCACCACTTTCTACTCCTAAACTGGTCAGGCACAAAGATGAACATAAATAAATGAACTAGAATCCCCTCAAAACTCCAAGTTCCTTAATGAAGATTTCAACATAAGTATGGCTGCAGTCTGGGTGCCCTCCTTAGGGCTCATCTTGATTTTACTCATTTCTCAGCATTCTTTTTCTACCACCTCTCTCTTTTTAGCATTGATGCGCTCACTCTTTCTTCACCTTCCCTTTTGCTTCTGTGCTTCCAGTCATATTTCATCGTACTCTCCTCTTCCCCTGTTCTCCCATCTCCCCATTTCCTTCACTTCAGTGAAACGTCGACTTTACACGTCTTCTCTGAAATTTCTTTCTGTGGCCTCTCCCCCTTCTGTACATAAACTACGGTAACATTAAAAGGTTTGATGAATCAGACACACAACAAAGGAGAGAACAATATAACGACATGTTCTCTAAGGTTTACAATACGAGGGTTTTTTTCATAGTTTACACTGAACATTACCTCCCCAAAGATCTGACTTATTTCAGGTGAAGTAATGAAATCGCCTTTTTCCCCTAACATGTCCCGGTGTACATAGTAGCCCTAAGTAAAAAAAAAATAAAATGGAAAAAGACAATTAATTTCCTCATAAGGTTTTCCTGAAACCACCCCCTCCAAAAAATCTTACTTACATACACTAGGAATAAATGAGTTTTTAGTAAGGCATCCCCTCTTCTAAATACGCAAGACAAACACAGCATCACTACTCATCTGTCATCACAGCCTCACGCCCCACCCCCAGCTCGGCAGACCCCGCCCACACCTCCAGCCTCCCCTCCCCTTCCTCACACTTTCTGCCTCACCTTGGCCGTCTTGACTGCATGTTGATTACGTGGGAATGTTCGCTTTGTGAAAACACATTAACTATGAGATTAATGTGTATGATAATCTCTTCTGTATGATAATCGCCCTTTCCAGTCTTCCCTGCCAATCACATGCTCGTCCTTTGAGTAGGTACAAAAGCCAGGCAGCTGGGAAACCTTCACTGACCTTGGCCTCCAGCCTCAGACCAAACCAAGCACTCTTTTTGTTCCCGTGCTTATATAAGGGGGCTTCATAAAGTTTGTGGAAAACTAGAATGAAAAGATAATGGAATTTTCCCATGAACTTTCTGAAGACCCCGTGCATGTCTAATCTTCATCAGTGGGCAAAGTTATTTGGGGGAAGTACTGTCTTACTCAACTTTATTTCCCATCTGTTAGCATAACACCGAAACTTCAGGAAACACTCAAGAATTATCGGTGAAGAAATGTGCTACATTCCTCAGGCCCCTTTATCTAGCTAACCTCACATACTCCATAGGGGAAAATGGAGACTTTCTGTTCCTGTAAAGACGTACAGCGTTAGCGATGCTACAGATGTGGTTCTTCTTTCTCTGCCAGCTAGTGTCTGTCGCCAAGAGTCACTATCAACCTGACGGCAGTGGGTTTGCCTGGGTTTGGGGTATGATCATTATAGTGTGATCAATAGCAGTGATTCCCACAGATGACAAAGTCACATGCATTGCTACCGGCTGTGGCCTATGTCCCTGTTAGAAGAAATGCTCTATTTCAGTTACATGCTAATGAAAACAGAGGTACAATAACAAGAACCTCTTAAACGCCCTGATTTCTATTCAAGGATCCCCAAGTGAAGAAGCTCTACTTTACATGTTACTGGTTGAACACCTCAAGGCTTAGCCCTAGAAATCCTTCTTTCCTCTAAATACGATCTCCCAGGTCCCTTGGCTTTAAACACCATCTACTTGTTAATCCCCAAATTTATATAAGCATATCTAATCTCTCTCCCAAGCTCCGGACTCTGATAGGCAACTGCCCACTATACCCACTTGTGTCATTAAGTGCACAATGTACCTGCAGCTCCTGATGCACATTCCTGTGTTGGAGTCAGCTAGGTGGCAGTGAGGGTTTTTGAGGACCCAGCAGCAGAGGGCAAAAAGAGGCTGTCTTGGTTGAAGAATATAACCCCTAGTTATTTCTGAATTGTAACCCGCTACTTCCCTCACAGGCCTCATCAGCATGAGTAGGTGAGTTGGGTGTCCACTACAACACATCATCCAGCCCGGGACAAGTAGTGCCGGAGGAGAGCGTGCTGTGCCGGAACTGGTAGAGGTTGGAGAGAGACGCTACGGTTGCCCTTCATCTCATGGAAATCAGCCTTATAGGTGGTTGATCTCGATTCTCCTTCCTCATAAAGTTAGACGTCAAATAGCCCCGGCACTCCCATTTTTACATCTCTAAACCTGCTCCTCGCCACCTTCACTGTCTCGGCAAAAGGTACCACCAGCTAGTTACTCGAGTGGAACATCTAAGAGTCATTCGTGCTTTTCCCCTTCATCCTTTCCCAACGAATCCACGAGTTATTCCTGTCTGGGCAAGATGGAGATCTAAAACCACCCACTCCTCACTCCACTTCAATGATAAGCCACCGTCATTTCCACTGACTCCCAATCCTTTTCCCCTGCAATCTGCTCTCCACACATTGTTGTGAGTTCTGACTCTGGGGACCCCACGTTCGGACAACAGAAGGAAACACTGCTCCAGCCTCACAATTGTTATGTTTGAGCCCTTTGTTGCAGGCACTGTGTCAGTCCATCTTGGGGGTCTTCCTTCTTCCCTGATAATATGTCCAAAAATCTCACCATCCCGTTTTAGGGAGCAGCATGCAAAGTGTACTTCTTCCGAGGCAGTGGCCGACCAAAGAGATCCAACCCCGTTGAGATTATCCATTCCCAGGGGGAAGTACCCGACTGCTCACGGTGGGGACCCCCGGACGCCACTGACTCTGCTTCGGCGGCCCACGCGTCGCACATCCTAGAACTCGGGTCCTCCGGCCCCGGGCCCCTCCCTACCTTGGCGGGGTTGGTCAAGACTTCCTTCATGTACTCGGCCACCGTGATGGGGCCAGTCGACTTGATTTTGTACGTAAGATGCCGCAGCATCGGAGTCACCGGGCTGTTTGCGGCCGGCTCTTCGCCCGAGCTGAAGCTTCGGCCTCTCCAAAGGCGGGGAATGACTAGGGAAAGACAGCATCACACAGAACCCATGAGCAATCTTAGTGTTGACAGGGGCCATGCACCCCTTCATCGTGCCCCAACGTGGGAGCGCGACCTCCAGGAGCGCTCGGGCCCCAC